GAGGGCTCACTGGCCAACCAGTCTGGCCTTATCAGGGAGCCCTGGGTTCCAGTGAGAGACTGGTCTGGAGTGTGCTGGCCAATGTCACAGAGGCACATGTAGACATGGCGGGGTCCATCCATGTTCTGGGACCTTTCCAGCCCCATCCTTAGCATTCTCAACCCTCTTGCAGGTCCCTACTTTTCTTACCGCCGCTCCCTTGTGGCCTCAACCACATCTTTCAAATGATTTGATTATGCATAAGGCCAGGCTTAAAAATATGGGTCTCCTTTTTACTTCTTCTTTTTCTTTTCTTTGAGACAAGATCTCAACATATAGTTCTGGCTGGTCTGGAATTCTCTGTAGACCAGGCTGGCCTTGAACTCACAGAGATCTGCCTGCATCTGCCTTCTGAGTGCTGGGAATAGAAGTGTGTGCCAATACACTTGACTTGGGGTTCCTTTTTAAGGGTGACCTTTTGCAGACCTTCATCTTTTCAGAGCACGGAGTGTGGGCACAAACTGTATAAAGTTGCTCTGAGGCTCTGGAAAGAATCACTAGATCACCACCTGAAGGAGTCCTGCTTAGCAGTATCTCCTGCTAGGAGGACAGAGGTAGTTATGGGTTTGTTTGTTTTTTGTTTTTTGTTTTTTTAACTCACTGGGCTTTCCATTCCCAGTCTTCTGTGGTCAGTGGTCTTCCTTTTTATCTTTGAGGAGCTGCCTTATCCATCCTTTATCCATAGCCACTCAACTCAACTGTCAATCAAGATCCTCCTCTATCCCCTAGAAACAAACAGACATGTGACTGAAGCCTGGCCAATCAGGAAAGTCCATTTCCACCAGCCATTATGATTGATTCCAGGATAAGTTCATGATCTAATAGCTATAAATGTCCTTCTCTAAGTAATGTTAGATGAATGTGACGTGCCAGAATGGCATCTTTTTTCATTCCGTGAGGAGAGTCGTTTATTGGAATGGGACAATCCTATTCCCTGATCCTAAGAATTCAGTATTGGGATCCTTGGAATCTGATGTATTATATATGTAGGACTGGCTGCGACCCAACTATAGGTGCCATTGAGACCCAAGCAGGAGTATGGTAAACCATACAAGGGTCTCCCTTCCTTCCTTCCTTCCTTCCTGGGTTCTAAAGCTGTTCCCAGGAAATGCTTGCTTATACATAGGTATATTTTCAAATGTGGCGCATTTTGTGAAATTGCCCTTAGACAAGTCTGTCACCAATATAAATCATTTTGGCACTGTGGAGAGAGTCTGTCTGGGACACTGTAGCCACACCTGTTATTTTCAGTCTTTACACGTCTGCACGCCCTAGCCTCACCTGGCATTGTTGGTTTTTATATGGCACCTGAGGACGGAGTCAGCTGCACACAGAGGCTTGCGGTTGAACCAGGTTCCTCGGGGCCTGTCCCTAAAGCTGCCCACTCTTAGCCTTGATTCCAAATCTTCCACGTGGCCTATGGCCATACCACCCTGAGTGTGCCCCATCTCCTCCAGACCTTTGGGTTGGTTCTTTGATTTGTGTGCTTATTTAGATTTCTTTATGTGTACGAGTGTTTTGCCTGCATGTATGTCTGTGCACCATGTCAGTGTCTAGCACTTGTGGAGGTCAGGAGAGGGCATCGGATCCCCTGAGACTGGAGTTACTGGAACTGGAGTTAAGACAGTTGTGAGCCATTAGGTAGACAAGGAATTCAAACCTGGGTCCTCTACATGAGCAACACGTGCTCCTAACCACTGAGCCATCTCCCCAGCTCCTTTTGATTGGATCTTTGTCCAACTTTACTAGTCTGCTTGTACCCTGGTCTCCCTCTGCTAGGCCAGGGTGTCTCTCCTTTTTCTCGTTAAATTCCTTGCTACTGCTGGGAATAGTTTTAGAACCAGGAAGGGAGGGAGAGAGGACAGGCAGGGAGGCCGGTCTGTGTGATTCACCAAACTCTTGCTTGAGTCTGAATGGCAATTGGGTAACAACTATAACTGGGTCCCAACTAAACCTGCATAGACAATACTCAAGGACATCGGATCCCCAAGGATCCCAATACTGGATTCTTAGGATCAAGGAATAGGATTATCCTGCTCCAGGAACTGTCACTCCCCATGGAATGTCCTTGATTAGCAAATTTCACTAATAAAATGCTATGTGTCTAGCATGGAATCACAACACACAGTCCCCCATCTCAATTAACTCATCATCTATATGAGAAGCAAGAAGAAAGCTGGGTGGTGGCGGCACACACCTTCAATCTGAGCACTCAGGAGGCACAGGCTGGTGGGTCTCTGAGGCCAGCCTGGTCTACAGACAGGGCTACAGAGAAACCTTGGAGAGAGAGAGAGAGAGAGAGAGAGAGAGAGAGAGAGAGAGAGAGAGAATGAGCCTGAGGCTTTGTTTAAGAGAGTCGTATGGCTAGATTACGCAGCATTTATGAAATATTTGTGTCAAGTGGAGCAGAGTGTGAAATGTGTGAAACTGTTTTTTGTTTTTTGGGATTTTGTTGTTGTTTTGTTTTGTTTTTTTAAAGGTGATTTCTAAGGGGACTTTAATAAGGATTGGAGAGGTTCTGGGCTGCCCACTTACGTTTGGCGGGATCTGACATCACAGTTTCTTGTGTGCGGCACATTTTAAGCATCTAACCAATTTCCCATGTCTCTGAGGCCGAGTTCCTGTTCTTGGTTGTTGCATTGTATACCTACTGGCCACAGGGAGATCCTGAGTCCTCCCTCCGTGTTTGGGGGAGACGCACCTTAGATCAACACGAGCTCTCAGGGAAAGGAAAACACTTCTTCTGCATTAGGAGTTGTGGAGCAGCTAACATTGCTCACACATTCTCCTGGGGCAATAAAAATTCTCAAGCTATTTCATCTCAGTCTGGATTCTGTTTTTGCCCCCTGTGTCGGGACCCAAAGCACCACAATTGCTAGGGTCATGGACTCTTAACAGGGAATTGGAGTTCATCTTTGAAAAATGAATAGAAATTAGACATGTGTCTTAGTTAGGGCTTCTATTGCGGTGAAGAGACACCATGACCACGGCAACCCTTCCAAAGGAAAAACATTTAATTGGGATGGCTAACATTTTCAGAGGTTGAGTGCATTATCATCATTATGCGACATGTTGGTGTGCAGGCAGACTTGGTGCTGGAGCTTTGTATCTACATCTCCACAGGCAGGCAACAGGAAGTGGTCTGTCACACTGGGTAGTACCTTAAGCATATGAGACCTCAGTGACACGCCTCCTCCAGCAAGACCACACCTACTTCAATAGGCCACACCTCCTAAAAGTGCTACTCCTTTTGGGGACCATTTTCTTTCAAACCACCACAACAGGAAAGGGGGTAAAGTTTATAAATCAATAAATAAAAATTTAAAAACTTGTTCTGGTCCTCTTAGTTAATGAGAGACACAGTCTAGCGGCCTTCATGTATGTCCTCTGTCCAGAGACGGCATTGGAAATGTTGCCTAACTAATGTGGCACAGGTGCAAGCCCAGAGATTGGTTAGCTGCTCATTAAACCCAACACCACTCTCCTTGGGGCACTAGCAAGACTACACTTCCCAGCCTCCTCGATGGTGGAAGTGACGGACTAGTATACCTGCTCATTTATGGTCTCTCTCCATCTTCCAGCTTGTTTCCCTGGTTGTGGAAGACGTGTGTTACAGTCCACAGAGGATAAATAGGAAGGAGGCTGGGCCCCAGAGGACCGGTGCCATCACGACTTTATCTGGATAATAAATAGCTTTTGTTCTCAGACTGCTAGGGTTTTGTTATTGCTGCTGGCCTGGCCTCGTCCCTAGTTGAGAGTCCAACTTACTACAGTGGAGACCAGCTGGAAAAGTAGAGTGGAGGCCTGGAGGCCTTCTGCAGGGCCTGTAACACCCCAGCTATTACTGTGGGAAAGAGCACTTCCTGTGCTCTGCAGTCTAAAAAAGAATGAGCTGCAGGTGCTGCCTGAAGGGGGAAGGGGAAGACAAAAAGCGGTTTTAAAAAAAGAAAAGGCCTGCTAAGTGGAGGGAGGGGCAGAATCCAGGCCAAGCACCAGCGTTGTTCACAAGGCGGGACTGGGGGCAGAAATCCTTCATTAGTGAGAGAGGGTCCTGGCCTTCAAGTATCACAGAGAAGAAGCTGTAGCTGATGGCTGAGATGGGCATTTGAGAACTGTGTTGGTTTTCCATCACCGTGGCAAAGAGAAAAGGCTTGTTTTGACTCCTACTTTTGAAGGTTCTGGTTCGCACGTGGGTGCCGCCATTGCTTTGAGCCTGTGATGAGGTACATCATTGCAGAAGTACATGGTAGGACCTGCAAAGCAATATGAAGAGAGAGCTGGGTTCCCACTACTCCTTTTGAGAGCATGCCCCTAATGACCTAAAGACCTCTCTCTCATGAGGATTAAGAATTCTGCCACCTCCCAACAGCACTTAGTGGGGCCTTCATGAGATACTTACGGTCTAAACCACAGCAAGGTTAAACATTACCATTGGGGAGCCTCGGGTCTCATGATCTGGTGACCCAGACATAAACAGCTCTCCACCCTGAAACACACATAGCTGGTTAAGCCACTTGTTTGCCTGGGAGTGCTTCTGTTCATTCCGATCCCCGTTTCTGAGTGGCGTAGTTAGTTTAAGGAATGGTCATGTTTACCTTTCTGCTACTCCAGTTGCTGACACAGGGTCAAGTCCGGTTTTCAGTTTCTCTGGCCCCTGCCCTCTGGCTACACACGGACAAATGATTAGTGCAGTTGTCCCTCAGGATGCTCGAAATATTCGTTCTAAGACACCCCCCATGATATCCAAATCAGCAGATGCCCCGGTGCCTATACACAGGGTGATGAGGATATGGCATCTAACCTGTTTTTATAGCAGTTGCCCGATATTTGATACCTGTTTTGGTGTTATTCATTTTCCTATACTTTTATATTCAACTAGCTGCATAATTTTGTCTGGGAAGTAAATTTCCAAAATACCATTTGCTTCTTCTTCTTCTTGTTATTTTTAATTTACCTAAACAGAAGTTCTTTTTAATGTATGTGTCGGGGTGGGGTGCAGGTTCCTGGAGAGGCCAGAACAGGCTGTCAGGGCCACTGCAGCTGGAGTTGCAGGTGGTCGTGAGCCATTCATCATGGGTGCTGAGAACCAAACTTGGATCCTCTGTGAGAGCAGCAAGAGCTTCTAACTGCTGGGCTGTCTCCTCAGCCCCCAAACCGCAGGCCGCTCTGACCAGTCATGGGTTCCGTGACTTTGCAGGAACACAGCTAGCATATTTGTTTGTATATCTTTTGGGGGCTTTTGTGCTATATTATGGTTGGGCTTTCTTTCTCGTCAGGTTTTCTGCATATCACACTGTCCTCCTCCTCCTCCCTTTTCTTCTTCCTTTTCTTGTTCTTTTTCAGCTGATTAATCTCTCTAACTCCATTGTTTCTTCCTTTTGTATCGCATTGGAAGCTTTGTATCCTACCTTTATTCCTTAGAGATTGTGGTTAAATGTGGAAGACACATACTGAAACAGAATTTTCTAAACATTCTAAAGTTACTTACATCATTGGTCCATACCCATCTGCCCCACATTTTGCTACAAGCTACAAGCTAATAATTATTTTTAAACAATTGAAAACAATCAAAAGAAGGTTAATATTTTATCACATGGAAAGTTAGCTAAAACTCAAAATTTAATCTTCTTGAATAAAGTTTTGCAGAAACAAATGCATATTTGCTTGCATCTCCTCTATGGGTACTCTTGTGCTATTACAAGGAGAGCTAAGAGAGGACACAGCACACATGTATGACCCAGTATGACCCATGTATGACCTTGAAAATGTTTGCTGACTCCTTATCTACATGTAGATCCCCTCCCTAGTCAAAGTAGATAAGAACTATAACACAGAGATTAATTCTTCTAACCAACTCCTCCCAACTCTACATCACATCTGTGTTGCACTCATTTGAAATTTTAGCGCCCCAAATTATAAACACAGCTGTTCATTGGGGGTGAGTGGATGAGTAGATTGTATTATAGCAACACAATGAAATATCACTTGTCAACAAGAAAAGGAATGAACTACTGATACGCACACTGATGTGGGTGGGTCTTAAAATATGTGAATTTATTGTGTGTACATGATAATTCAATAAAGCTAATTTAAAGAACCTTCTCTGGAATTGGAGAAATGGCTCAGTGGATAAAGGGCTTGTCACAAAAATATAAGGACTGGAATTTGGATCCCCAGAACTCCTGTAAAACCTAGGCACAGAGACCGCCAATAATCCCAGGACTCAGAGCCGGGGAGGAGTCTCCAGGAAATGCTAGCTACATTAGCTGGAATTAGTGAGTTCTGGACTCATCAAAAGACACTGTCTCCATAAATAAGAGAACAAGCAAGTAAGATACTCAAGGCCAACTTAGGGCCTCCACACACACCCCACACATGCACTTATGCATGCATACATACACATGCCTACACACATTCAAACATACACATACATGCACGCATATGCAAAAAAAGAAAACCCCTTTTCAGGACAAAGTTAATCTTTAGGAAGGAATTTATGATGGGGAAAAGAGTGAGAGAATCTTTATTTATTTACTTACTTACTTATCTACTGATTTAATTACTTTTAGAGATGCTAGAGACTCATCCCAGACAGGGCACCAACAACAGGCCAAGAAAATGATTCCACCTGTCTAGCTAAGTAAACCAGTGAGTATAATTAGGGTTACTAATAGGACTATGGGTCAGGGTTACTTATAGAAGAATGGGCGACTCAGGGGAGGGATACCACCAAAGAAAAGTCTCCCGAGAAACCATTAACTATTTATATATCCTCAGAGGAAGCCTCATGAGCCCTTTGCTTAAACAACCGTTAGCTGCCTCAATGTCCTTGGGGAGGAGCAGGGCCTTGTGAGTCCCTCTCCTTCATGACAGGAAGTGGAAGTTGTTAATAGGCTCAGCCTTGTGTTGTTCTTGCTCGGTAATCCCAGGAAAGCAATGGGCTGCCTCAAGGCTCAAGGGTGGCTGCCATTCTGGAACACTTTCCCCACACAGACGGTTCTACACCACAAACCTACCCCCCCGTGGAGCTCAGCCTGGGCTGTGGCTGCTCTGATGTCTCTCTGGAGGCTCTTGCAGGAGGATCTGTGAGGTTTGAGAGATGGTGACAGCCTCCTCCTAGGTGGGACCTGGGTTCAACACTGCAGTGACCTCTGGCAAGGTACTTAATGCCTAAGGTTGGGTTTCCCACGATAATTATAAGAATCATAACACCTTCCTCCTGGGGTATTATACAGTCTGATGTTTGTTTGTTGGGGTCAAACTCGGGGCCTCATGCATGCTAGTTAACTGCTGCACCAGTGAGCTGCACCTCCGGCTCTGACAGATGGAATGTCTCCTCTGCTTGTACACTGCACTCACCCCATGGGAATCGTTTCTCTCGGGGCTGCTGCTTCCCTGAGCTGGCATTCACTGAAGTCAGATTTGGGCTCTGATGCCGTCTATGATCAACAGGTGTGACCCTACTCCTCTCAGCCTCCAAAGTAGTGTGTTTTCGTATACTACAAATAAGAAAACGTGCACACAGTTTTCTTCAAACCCAGATCAAACACAAGTATTACTTTCCTAGGTCGTCCCACCAAGATGACCAGCAGGTAAAGTTCATTACTTCTCATCTTATTCCAGCCTTCAGTCTTCCTTGCCTTACCAAGCTGGTGTGAGGATGAGGAAGTTGGGAATCACATGATAATCTCAGGTAATAAAAGTACTCACGAGAACTACATTTCCCAGGAGCTGCAGGACACCCTCCAGAGCTCCCCATTATTCTTGTACCAGGTAATATAGTGTTGTTGTTTATTTCTGCTCTTTTTGGGGGTCCTACCACCCAGCTCCTAAATAAATCACACACAGAGGCTTATTCTTAATTATGAATGCCCGGTGTTAGCTTGGCTTATTTCTAGCCAGCTTTCCTTAACTTATCCCATCTGTTGCCTCTGGGCTTTTCCTGTTCTCTTACTTCTGTAAATCTTAGTCTTACTCTGTGTGCTGTGTGGCTGGGTGGCTGAGGGGTGGCTGGGTGGCTGAGGGGTGGCTGAGTGGCTTAGAGGTGGCTGAGGGGTAGCTGGGTGGCTGGGTGGCTGGGTGGCTGAGGGGTGACTGAGTGGCTGAGGGGTAGCTGGGTGGCTGAGGGGTGGCTGGATGGCTGGCCCTTGGAGTCCTCCTCCTTCCCCGACCACTTCTTTGGTCTCTCTCTTCTCCCAGCTTTCTCCTTCTATTTATTCTCCCTGCCTGCCCCACCTATCCTTTCTCCTGCCTTGCTATTGGCCATTCAGTCTTTATTAGACCACCAGGTGTTTTAGATAGGCACAGTAACACAGACTTACAGAGTTAAACAAATTCAACATAAACGAAAGTAACACACCTTAAAATAATATTCTACTACAAGAGAGAATGCCTTGAGAGATCCTCGAGTTAAGACACTAAATTCATGAGTCACTGGCCAGTAAAATATGAAGCACCTGGGAATTTATTGCTCAGGATAATTCTGTCTCCTGTCTGAATTAGACCCGTTGAGTCCGTCTCTCAAGAGTAGGTCTTACTATGTACCACAGCTGGCTTGGAATTCACTCTGTAGACCAGGCTGGCCTTGAACTCAGAGATCTGCCTGTCTCTGCCTCACATATGCCGCCATAGCTGGCCTAAGAATATGTGTTTTAACAACCTCTAAGGGGATACTTAATTTCTTTTTCTCCCCACAAGACAAGGTTTTCTGTGTAGCTCTGGCTGTCCTGGAACTCACTCTCCAGATCAAGCTGGACTTGAACTCAGAGATCTGCCTGCCTCTGCCTCCTGAGTGCTGGTGTTAAAGGTGTGCACCACCACCATGCCTGACTTCTAACGGGATTCTTGGAGCAGCACTATTCTAAATAATTCATAAAGAACATACATGTGAACCGTCTCTGTCATCTTGCCCTTGCCTTGCTGAGCTATTCTGAGATTCCTCTCCAAGGACGAATGGGACCAGACAGGGGAAGTCCCACACAAAGTGTGCTTTCCTCTGTTACTCTCCTATCACTTTTCTGTCACAGCTATTTGACCGTTGACAAAATGACAAAGTGAAAATGACAGGTGGTACATTTGGTAATACCAGGCAAACCACAGATGAATGCTAAATGGACGTCTACCCAGCTGGGCCCAGCCAGGCAGGTTAACAGCTCTGTAGGAAGGGCGTTGGCAGAGCCGGGCAGCCTCAGACTGAAGACAGTGCTCCAGCCCATCCAATGCAACAATGATAATGAGAAGAAAAATGGAGGAGG